CCTGCTTGGTAAATTGTGTGGAATTTGTATTTAGTAGCTCGTGTGCCCAGTATTATTATTGTTTGTTTGGCTTATATCTCACCCTTTCTCGCAAGAGTTCAGGAAGGCTATGGTCCATATTCATGTGATTCTTTGGTTGTGTGTGTGTGTGTTTTGTTTGGCTTATATCTCACCCTTTCTTGCAAGAGTTCAGGAAGGCTATGGTTCATATTCATGTGATTCTTTGGTTTTGTGTGTGTGTGTGTGTGTGTGTGTGTGGTGTGTGTGTGTGTGTGTGTGTGTGTGTGTGTGTGTGTGTGTGTGTGTGTGTGTGAGAGTGTGTAGATCGTGGGAGTTGCGTACTCTTGGGAAACACTAAGCCACAGTTGAAGCTTGAACACCTTTATCTATAAAACTCTTTTACAAATAATTAGATTGAGTGTCAATTAATAGCATAACACTCTTGCTGAGAAGAGGATTTTTATTAAAATCTTGAAAAGCCTGATTTTAACAGTATTCTTGGTGTATGTGCATTCATGCACACACCTATATATTTTAACTCTTTAAAATTTTAGGGGTTTGCAAACAGCTGTAGCTTAGGCATCTGATTATCTTTTAAAGTACAGCAGCAGCAATAAACATGTACTGTAATCCCTACAGTTTTGTCTGCAAAGTAGAAAAACTGCAAAATGTTACTTTTGTCACATGTGTCTCATGTGGAGTCTGAACTTTATTTTGCTTTGTTGGCAGTCTGGCTTCAGGAGGAAAGAGCATCAGCTGTGGCCCCATTTTTGAACTATTTGCCTTTATCTCAACTTCTTTGTTGTGGTCTCTATGATTCACACAATTTGGTTCTGTTATTGCATGAACATTCTTCACAAAACCTCCCACAGCTCTAGCTTTGAGTCTTCTTTCCCTTGCTTTTACTATGTACGTCCCACCTGCTTTTCTTTTTGTCTACTGTGGCAATGGCATTCTGGGATAATTTTAAAGCTCCAAAAGAGGTATTTACTGTAAATAGCCTCTAAAAGCCTTCAAAGCTTACATCTACTTATTTTTTTCCTTTGTCTGTTGTTATTTACCTTTAAAATATTAAATATTCTTGTCAAAGGGTTTGTTAGGAGTCTTAGGCGGTCCCGAATTTGGCACAGGAATAAACAAAACTGGCATATTTAAACCATAACCGATTTTATTCACCAACAGGGTGTCAACAATAACTTCAGTAGGAACACACAAATCTTCATTAATCAGTTGTCTGTCAACTCTGGAACCACTATTATAACCAAAGTCTCGTTTCAATATTGGGGTGCCAGTCCAAATCTCTCTCGGTCGTGGGGTCTTCTCAAGGGGACGCTCTGAACCACACATATAGTGCCACAGCATGGATGGTGAGCCCAATTCCTCTCTGGGGGTGGTTTGTTGAAGGTGGGGTCCAGTCACACCACTTTCTTCCAGGGGCCATGTCCCCTCAGATACACCACCACTGTCCATTCTGTGGACTCTTTTACTGTAATTCCTTCTTGTCCTGGTATCGGGTCAGGCAGTAAACCGCTGACCCTCAGATTGGGAAAGTCTTTCAGCAAGTCATTTATGTTCTCTTGTTTCTTCTTCTCTTTCTTTCCTTCCTCAGTCTCAGTACAAAAATCCCATGCTCCTGTACCCTCTTTTATGTCGTCCTCCCATACATCCAACCATTGCTCCTCCCCTTTCTCTTTGCCCTCCTTTGTCAGACACACTTCTACCTCAACCCTTTCCTGTTCTCTCTTTCTCACTGCTTCCCCTCTCTCCTCTTTTCTCCCTTCAGAGCTCTTGTTTTCCGGAGGAGACGGCACACTCTTGTGTTCCTGTCCTTCACACTTCTTCATTGTTCTCTCCACTTTTCCCCCTCCCCCTTTTCCTTTTCCAAGTGGGCCCTAAGCAAGCCAAGCCTGGTTAAATTGGATGGTTTATGGCCTCAGCATCCTTAATGAAATACTTATCTGGCTGTGGAGCAAAAATGCCTCAGGCAGATGGACATGAGCAATGTTTGTTTAGCTTAGGAAAAGCTCATTTAGTTAAAAGTTGTGCAGTCTGTAGAGGATTTAGTTAAGCAACTCTCACCAATCATGTTTAAGTTATACCTTTCAGAATTTCTTTTAAAAGTAACAGTTTAAGTGATAACAACGCAGCCAAAAAGTCAACACCAAAACAAATTACAATCCTTGTTCCAAAAGCATGGAATCTGTACCTAAAGGATTACCAACTCAGGAATACACAGCTATAGCAAAGGGCAACACCAGTCCCTTGACTTTGAAGGCAGCTTTGAAATCAATGGAAATATCTGACTCTCAAAGTAAAAAACAGAACAGCTTGTCAGATATTAACTGAGACACATGGAAAAAGGATAAGAAAAAGAATGAGCCTTTAACACAGTCAGTTGCTTTACCATCACTGGATCCTAATTTTATGCTTACACCGATGCAGACACAGTGTTGAGTTTCAATATCAAAACTGAACACGATACCAACACTGAAGGAATCGAACCACCGACTCTATCTGTAGAAAACAAAGTGGTGAATAATGAACAAAATGATCATTCAGAATCTTTTGTGTCTTCACATGATTCAGATGTGGGAGATAATGTGCCACTATCCTCATCTGAATATCTTGTATCATAGATTGAAAGAATGGCAAGATTGTTTCAGTTACAAATATCTAAACTAGAGATAGAGACAAACATAAAAATGGATTGATCTTTTTAACAAATATAGCCGATTTGTCATATATTTCTTGATCCATATTCATCAAATTTTAAGTCCCACCAAATATGGATCAACAGATATTTCCCCGTTTTTATTTGTCCTGATACGAATAATGTAAAAAAGCTGATGGCTTTTCCATTCTGCCTTCTGGCCCACCGATCAGCTGACTGGCAGGCTGATAGGCAGCCATCCACCCCCACAGCCTACCCCCACCATTCCTCTCCCTACCCTAGCCCCCCACCTCCACCCCTGCCAGCACCCTCTTACTGTAATTGTTGCCACTGCTGCCAAGGTTTCCACCAGGCCTCCGCAGTTGTAGAAAGGGAAACTGGCTCCCTTTGCAAAGATGGCAACTGTGGCTTCATTTAGGGTAGGGAAGCTGCAGGTGGCATCTTTTCAAAGGTCAGCCTGGATTCCCTTAGCCTGCCTTAAGGGATGGGGGTGGCGGTGGCAGCGGTGCGGGTGTTTTTCTTTTAATACCCCCCCATGAATCGACAAATAAATTCATTATTTGTCAGTTCATTGGGGCAACTCCATGCTTCATGAGTCATGAACTTTTGATGACTCATGAAGCAGGACGACTCGCCAAAATGGTGAGTCATCCCCATCTTTAATCCAAACCTATACAGTCAGCAAAGGATTCAGTATTTGCAGGAATTCAGAAAAACATCAAACATTCCTGTAAAGATGTCAATAGACTTAATACCCAATCATGGCAGAAACCATCAACAATACCCCGAACTTCAAGAGGCATTCAAAACTTGTAGAGGGTACAAGAGGAAGGTGTTAATCTTTTATTTAAACATCAGATGCTTATTTCAATTATAGTAGTGATCACTCAACCAAAGAACAGAAGAACAAAATAAAGAACCAACAGAGGAATAACACCAGCCAATAGAGAAGGAAGAAAATTAGAACTTTTATGCAGAAAAATTTATTTGGCTGCAGAATCGAATGGGACTTTGATAATATAAGTTTGTTTGGTTTTAGAAGGAGGAATAAATCTTTGGGAGCAAGGGACAGTGAATCATCAGCAAGAGACGACCTAGGAAAATCAGGACTGGAATTTTGAAGGATTACAATAATATCTTTTGGAGAGACTGGCTCCCTGCGTTTGCTGTTTAGTCTGGACTTTCTCTTGGTTGGACTGTGTGGATTTTGATAATATTGCTATAATATCTGGGCAAGGAAGGGAGGACACAGGAGAGGTATATGATGATGCGTTTCATTTGTTGATAAATACTGGAATCTAAAAAATGTTATTTATAGAAACCATAAGTATTGGAAAGATGGAAATGACCTCTGAAAATTTTAAATATCAACTGTTGGGAATCTTGCCAGATAAAGAATGGCAGGTTACCATGCAAATGACAATAATAACAGGATTCCAGCAGGTCAATGAGCGCCTCAACCAGATGAAAGATTTTATGAAAGGGAAAACATCAGAGGTTAAACAACAGTTAAAGGAAACTGTACTAGCTCCAGAACAGTCTTTATTGAGAGCGATGCCAGGTAACATAGATGAGATTAAGAGTTACGCTGTGAGCTATGTAGCTACAATAGTCAGAAAAGGTGATGTTAAAAATCAGATTACTGTCCTGGATTTAATTTTATATCCCCAAATCTGGAAGAAAATAGAGTCACAGAAACAAGAGAAGGGTATTGAGAAAATATGGGAAGTGCTAGAAATGGATACTTTTTCAGGCATGCTGAACGTATGTCCAAGACAGAAGGAAATTGAAAGAGGGGATGTATTTTATAATTGGTCTTGATTTCCTGATAGAGTTGGAATAACTTAGATTTAAATTAAAACATGAATATAAGCTGATATTTATAGGATAATCAAACATAACGTTTTTTGCCTTGAAAAATGAATAGATTAGATGCTTGTATATTTAACATGAATAGATTGGATGATTGTATACTTTATGTTCTCCTATCATTAAAACCGTTTTCCCATCCCTTCCACTCCCTTTTATCTTCTGTATTCCCTACCCTTTTCCTAGTAGTTTAAAAATAAAATATTTTTTTAAAAAAGAAAAAATAAATCAGAATTTTAGAGAGGTTGTCAGCTGAAGAATTGGCCTTAGAAGCTATGCATAGCTCTTAGGCCATATGATTCCTACCCCTGAATGCAACTCCTATTGATGTCAATGGTTTTGTTCTCGCCTTTGAGTAGACATGTGTGAGATTGTGCTGTCAGTGAAATAACATACTTTGTTCATTATTTTATTTATCTCTCTTCCCCCCCCCCCCCAATTCGAATGTTCCTCCTCCATCTGCACTTTTGTGCTGGAACAGTCCTTGTCAGTGCGAGCTCTCCAGGAAATGCTGGCTAACACAGAAGAGAAAGCAGAAGGGGTAAGTTGTGATGCCTTTACCTTTTCATAAAAATTGGAATTTAATATATCATTGCCAACACTTCATTTTGGATTTCATTATAAGTATTGTTGTAGTCTGTTTGGTGCTGCTATTAAAATCTTAACCTGTGCAATTTCTCTATTTTTGGAATGCTTTCACTGTTATAAGATTTAAACCTATAACAATGTGGACAGTTCATAACAAAATTTCATGTGGGAAACTTAAAACCAACTCCTTTTCACAGTTTATATCATTGAATTTTGTTAGTAAATAATAAATAAAGTAATAACAATTTCTGAACCAGTATTTTTCACAATAATTTCTACATGCAACCTGTAAAGTATACAACATATTGTTGGAAGACAATTGTGTCCATTATAAGTTTGATTGTTTGGTATATACTTCTAACCGGCTGTTGATTAAATGTTCCTGTTTCATCTACAATCTTTCTTCCTGTCTTGTATTATAATCTGTTGTGTAATTTGTACAGTATGTGTATATTTAGTCTTTTTCTAAGATGCCTTGACTTAATTAATTATATTTTCTCAAATATTGTGTAGTTTCCTGTACCTCATTATGACAGAATTTAGCTATAGCTCTAAATACAAATATAGTTCCTAACTGAATTCCTTTTGTTACATTCAAATCAGTGGAACTTAAGTGAGTGTTGGCTAACAGCATAATACTATATATCATAAACTTTCATTTATAATGAAAAAGTAGCCTAGTGGCTTCTGTCTTTGATTGTTACTTTGGAGGACAGAAAAAAAGTACGTTACAAGGATTGAAAGATGCAGATTTACTGAAGGACACCTGAGACATTCTTGCAGATCATCTCTTGAACTGTCATTATCTTGACTGCTAATTACTTTATTTATGAGCTCTCACTAAACCATTAAGTGCATCATAGTGGTTTAGGTGAAACTAAGAAAGAAGAGAAAAGCAGTTAGAAGATAATCGCTAATATTCAAAGTAGTAGGAAAGAAATATATATCTTTGAACTGTATCGGCATATGGCTGTGGAGCCAGAGGTTATGAGTTCGATTCCCTACTGTGGCTCTGTGAGAGGATCTGGATTCAATTATCCTTAGGATCCCTTCGAGCTCTGTAGTTTTAAGGTGCTGCTGCTGCTGATTGAACATGAACCTGTGTGGTCCTAGACAAGCTGTACATATCTAGTCCACTTCTAAGAAGTAGGGAGTAGTAAACCATTTCTAAGTACTGTGTAGTTAGGAAATCCTAGAAGGATTTTGTATGAGTCAAAATGAACTTAGTGACATATTGTTGTTCTCAGAAATTCAACAAGGAAAGCTTTACTAAGCATGACGGTACAGTAATGGAAGATGTCACTTGTTAAGTACTGTATAGCAGTGGTCCCCAACCTTGGGCCTCTAGATATTCTTGAACTACAACTTCCAGAAGCCTTCACCACCACCTCTGCTGGCCAGGATTTCTGGGAGTTGGAGTCCAAGAACATCTGGAGGCCCAAGGTTGGGGACCACTGCTGTATAGTACCTAGAGATGAGCATGAGTCAAGCCATGAATCGGGGGGGAAAAACTATGAATCTGGCTGGTTTGTAGTTAATTTCGCAAACCAGTTCGGAGATCCCATTTTGTCAAAGTAAAATGAAGCACCAAACGTTTTTCCCGTTAGTGCTTTGTTTTGTTTGACAAAAGGGGCTGCCTACCTGCCCTCTTCTCACTGTCCCCATTGCCTCCCTACGTGGTCTTGCTGCCTCATTCTCTTCCTCCACTATTGCCAACCTCTGAGCAGTGGGTCTAGCTGCTCTTCCCAGAGCTGTCCTGCTGCCTCTATACATGTGCCCACCTGTCAGTTGGATGGCGGGTGCATGCGCAGAGGCATCAGGCAGGCTATGAAGAGCCATCCTGTTGCCTCTGCATATACACCCGCCTATCGGTTGGGTAGTGGGCACATATGCAGAGGTAGCAGGAAGGTTCTGGAAAGGGATCCCAGAGAGAGCCTGCTGCCTCTGCACATTCCCCCCAGCTATCAGTTGGATGATGGGTGCATGCTCAGAGGCAGCAAGCTGTCTCTGAGAATGGAGGCTGGGCCCATTGCCTCTGAGGATGGCGGGGACAGTGGTGGTGGTGGAGAAAGCGGTAATGGCAGGTGGTAATGGAGGAAATGGAAGTGGCAGGACCAGGTAGGGAGTCAATGGAGGCAGTGGAAAGAGGGTGGTAGAAGGCAGGAACAGTAGATTCCCCATCCCCAGGCGTGAACCGGAATAATGAGCCACAAACTTGTTTGGAATAAAATAGTATCCACTGATCTAACTGATGGACATAACTTAGAAGATATTTTTAAAGCAGCATGCTAAGCAGTAGTGCCTGGAATAAATTGCATAGAAATAAATTTCAGGGCACAATGTGGATGATACTAAAATATATTTTTATAATTAAAGCTGACTAGATATACAGTTCTTTTCTGATTCTATTTTCGGTAGAAAATGCTAAACAGAAACTAGTTACCTAGATGTTGATTTAAAGAAAGATTTCTGTTATCATATGATAGTTCATATGACAGAAGAAAATAGAACAAGACTATAAAAATACAATATTCTCACTTGCTTCTGAGAAAACTGGAAAACTATAGCAGACTACAGAGGTTGAGCTATGAGCACTTTACACAGAGATATCCTTAGGTATTGTTCTGCTGAAGACGAAACAGTAAAACAATGTCACACACCTGTAGAAACTGACTCTCGTGATCCCGTGCAATCTTATAATTGATGTGTACCACAATATCCTTGATAAAGCTGGACTCCGTGATCCATAGGGTCCCTTCCAGCTCTGCAAGTCTGAGATGATGATGATGATGATGATGATGATGATGATGATGATGATGATGATGATGATGATGATATTATTATTATTATTATTATTATTATTATTATTATTATTATTATTATTATTATTATTATTATTATTATTATTATTATTATTTTACTGTCTGTAAGCAGTAAAAAATGTTGCAGTATGGAATGCTTCAATTCAAAGTGTCAGCTGGCCAGCCAGCTCTGCCATCTTCTGGGATAATCCACTTTATTCCCCCACATCTTAAATTTTGCATTCCTCATCCCCAGTCAGTCAGTCAGTCAATCAGTCAACACGCATACCCACTGAGAATACTCAGTACTTAGTATTCTTGTCACTTTCTTTTAGGATTTTCTTTCCTAAACATGTATTGTAATTCCACCAAGACTTTTAATACCTCCTTTTTGCATGTGGCTAGTGTTTTCTAGACACTGTCTTAGTTTGTTGTTGTTGATGGATTAAAATGGATGAATACAAATAATGAAACACTGTCTAGCTCTGATAGTGTTTAGAGTAGGAGTTAAATTCTGAGGTACAGACTGTCTTTAATCATGGTTGCTTTAAACAGAATAACATGCCACCTGTGGGATGCAGTGCAGAGGTGCAATTTTATAAGTGGTGTTCCTTTCATGTGGTCCTCCTAGGGATGACCCTACTGTGATACAGAATTCTGCAAATTCATTTCCTTTTGCTGCTTCTGCCACCTTTTTTCCCATTTCTGCTATCTGGTAAAATATCATAAAAACTGATGCCAGTAGTCTAGAAAGACAGTACGACACCATTACTGAACTAAAGATTTCCCACTCAAATAGTAGGAACAGTGACTTGATCCCTGCAGTTCATGATGATCTTTTGGCTCCAGCAGTAGTAGCTGCCCCAGAGTAGATTAGGATAGAGTCGTCGTTGTTTAGTCATGTCCGACTCCTTGTGACCTAATGGACCAGAGCATGCCAGGCCCTCCTATCTTCCACTGCCTCCTGGAGTTGGGTCAAATTCATGCTGGTAACTTCGATGACACTCTCCAACCATTTCATCCTCTGTTGTCCCCTTCTGCTCCTGCTTTCACACTTTCCTAACATCAGGGTCTTTTCTGAGGAGTCTTCTCTTCTCATGAGATGGCCAAAGTATTGGAGCCTCAGCTTCAGGATCTGTCCTTCCAGTGAGCGCACTCAGGGTTGATTTCCTTTAGACTGGATAGGTTTGCTCTCCTTGCAGTCCAGGGGACTCTCAGGATCCTCCTCCAGCAGCACAATTCAAACGCATCAATTCTTCAGCAGTCAGCTTTCTTTATGGTCCAGCTCTCACTTCTGTACATCACTACAGGAAAAACCATAGCTTTGACTATTTGGACTTTTGTTGGCAAGGTGATGGTTCTTCTTTTTAAGATGCTGTCTTAAAAGGACAGAGTACACAAGGATAGAGTACACAACCTTAAACACAAAAAAAAACCAGTTTGCCTACATTTTTCAGGGTTTCTTCCCAGTTGCCAAAGAGAAGGAAATGAAGTTTATTTCCTACAAAAGGGAATGCCCCAATTCAGTGGCCACTATTTAAATTCTGTATGGAAGGGTATCCTTAAAGTATTCCTTATTTAGACCAGTTGAGAGCTTTAATGTATGGATGAGTGGCCTTCGACTGACAAGACCCAGCTCAAGTGACCTGGCCTGCAGAGGCTTCCTAGGAGAAAAGCAAAGATCTCATGCAGCTTTCCCAATTTCATCCTTTATGTTAGATTATATTCATATTATTGGATGTAGCAAAGCATATTATTACATGAGAGATGAAGAAGACACGTGCCTGTATCATGAGGTTATCATAGTACATGAGGTTGGAACAGTTTATTATTACTGTTATGCATTACTTTGAATATATGAGGAAGTAAAGAAAATGTGCATTATAAGTCTCCTAGAGATTCATTTGCCAGATGTTCACAATGAAATAGTTACTATCACGCCAGAGATTGTTCTTCTCCTGTGGGATGTGCATTTTGCTTCTGAGTTTTATCCTGTATTTGACCCCACCAAAAGGGGTCAAACTACACATAAGTATTGTTTCAGGGATATGGTGATGTTGCGGGTTAAACTGCAGAAGCCTCTGTGCTGCCAGGTTGGAAGACCAGCAGTCGTAAGATCGAATCCACGTGACGGAGTCAGCTCCCATCGCTTGTCCCAGCTCCTGCCAACCTAGCAGTTCGAAAGCATATAAAAATGCGAGTAGATAAATAGGTACCACCACAGTGGGAAGGTGACGGTGTTCCATGTCTAGTCACAATGGCCATGTGACCACGGAAACCGTCTAAGGACAAACGCTGGCTCTACGGCTTGGAAACAGGGATGAGCACCGCCCCCTAGAGTTGGATACAACTGGACTAAATGTCAAGGGGAACCTTTACCTTTACCTATTGTTTCATGCCTGTTTTTTCCTGCCAGTTTTTCCCTCCATAAGCAGCTTGTAATCTACAGAAAATTGATTAGAGGTTAATGTAATTTAAAATGAATTGGTATATTGCTGCGTTTCTTATGCTACTATTGAGTAAAGGATATCCTTAATTCAAGAGAACCAGGTCAAACAAGGACAGCTTGGAAATTTTGATTTTTAAAGTTCCCAGAAACCTCCAACCAACATGGTTAAGGCATAGAGTTGTAATCCAGAAAATGTTATTTTTCCAGTTTTGCAAATGAAGACACAGTTGAGCCAAGATCAATTACCCTTTGATTTTGTGCATTCCAGCTGGAAACAGTTGACCACACATTAGTTGAATGTAGTAGGATCTACATGATGTACATTCAAGTATTTTGGCTAATATCATAAGCTTTTTTAAAAATCTAGAAGAACTTCTAGTTTTGATTTTGTCAGACACTGGAGAATTATTGTCAAATTAAGCAATTTGTAATTTGGATGTGCACTTAAAATGATAAAGATGAAATATTTTTAACTTCACAGATTTTTATTCATTCCTGGTGTATTGATAACAGATTATTGGTTAAAACGGTATTCTTGCAAAACTGTATTGTGAGCCAGTTAACCCCCAGCTAATCTGGTACAGGTTGGTTGATTATTTTGATATTTCAGATATAGCTTATATTCAAAGGCAGAGTACTTTTAATAACTATGACTACAAGAAATTGTGTGATTTTAGTTTCTGTTTGCTCCTTGAATGCAAAAATCAGTAGGACAACTACAGTTTAAGACCTATTTATGAGACTGTGTTTTAAAGAATCAACTATTCTAAGCATGGATAATTCATAAAATTGTGTATTGAGTTAAGTTTAATAGGTTTGTGTTGTAGAATATCTTCCAAAAGTGTTGCTGTAATTAATCAGTATTTTAGAAGATTTAAAAATTTAGTGATGAAATAAACATGTGTGACCTTATCATATAATGGGATGACAGTTGATTGACAGAGATAATCATGAATTTTGATTGAGCCTTTATAGAAACAGTTCTGAGTGTGCAATTCCTTTAAATAAAATTTGGAATGTTTAGAAATCTTCCAAAGAAAGCCACAGCAGCAATGTATGGCCTGGGTTTATGTGATCAAGTTCTTCTCAAAGCTGCAGATGTACTTGTTGCAAAATGAACATGGGCACATTCAGATGAACAGACCTTCGTGCTAATCATGCAAAGATTTACATGATCCGAGTACGGTGTGCTCTTGGGGCAGATGGAACCTAAGTGCACATCACTGTCCACAACATGAATTTAGCCTTTCCATTGTTTCTGGCCTAACACTTGAGTAGGAATTTTTACTCTGTGTAGTGGCAGAAATCCTGTTGCGTAGCATAGAAAATTACAACTTCAATATACCCAATTAATCAGTAGAACTTATAGAAGAGTTGCCTTACCAAATCTCTACTGATTTCTATCTGATTTCCCTAGGGCTTAGCAATAATAGCATTAACATTGACATGTTAATATTAATATCAATAATATCTGAACATTAAACATTTCTTTGTGAAAATTATATATTTAACTCATTACATGAAACATATAACAAATATAACATATTAGAGACATATTTGTTTTAATGGAAAAAGTAAAATAGAAGTTTTCAAATTGCAAATTACTCTTGTGAGCAGTAATAAATTAAAATAATGTGAAACAATCAGTTCTGTGTGCTAACATCTCTGTTGCTTAATAGTTAAATGTTTTAAAAATAATTTTAAAATTCATTAATACATTAGTGACAGCAAATCAATGTGTAATGTATTTTTTCCTGGATCTGGTTTTCCCCTCCCCTCTGAGAGTGAGTCCATATGTGCACACTCATATTGGCATATGTAGGAATTAATGTTCTCAACCCTGTTTTTGCAAGCTGGAAAAACAGCAGGGAGTGACAACTGCTGAAAGACTCACAATGAGAGGGGATTGAAGGCTTCCACATAAAAGTGAAAGCACTTGAGTATCTCTTTTGAGGCTGTGCATATTCTGTCTGAATAAATTTTAAGACATTAAGAACCCAGAAGTTTGTGTAAAACATATTAGTGGTAAGAAGTATTTGGAAAACACATTTATAATCTATTCCCACATAATGTTCATTTTTGTTAAAAACATTGCTTTAATTTGTGTGCTTACTGGGAACAAGAGGGTGAAGGCACCCACCATCCTATTTGTGGCCTCAAAATCTGCATTGCCGTCCTAATAAAAACAAAATAAGTCAAAATGTTTTTGTTGTTGTTGGTATTGCGTACTGTTGCATGGGGAAAGAGGAAGTTCTGTCGCACCAAATGAAACATGTCAATACATTGTTGGAATTTAGCCCAATAATAATGAAGGCCTTTATATTAAATTGTGAAATCTAAACTGAAATATGTCTTATCCAGTAAAAGAATACTTATTTTTGTTCTTTTTTCTTTTTACAGCTAGTTGATGTGGAAAAATGGGTATGTGTTTCTTACCCTCTTGACCCAAAATACCCCTTGTTTACCACACAGTCAAAATGTCTGTCTTTTAATACTCTGTATGTGACACTACACTAAGTTGCGAAGCTCAAAACATATTTTAGAAAGTGTTTTTATAATGCTATACATATTGTTAGATTCCTGAAAAGTTATTTTACCTTTGTCAAATAACAATGCAAAAATATTATTCCTGCCGTGAAAGTTCGTCATGGTATAATCCTGTATAAGAGAGTCCACCTTGCAGTTTTGAGCCTTGCAATTTCATCTTCTAAATCTACATCATTTAAACATGTCACTGTTTCTTTGTCTGTACACATCTTAACAGTGCATGTGTATACCATAATCCTTCGTGTATGTCTGTAATAAATGTATTGCTTATATTCACCTGTGCCAATGTTTATTAAGCTCCCCTAGGCTGTTGGTTCCCAACCTTGGGTAACCCAGGTATTCTTGGACTGCAACTCTCAGAAACTGGCCAGTACAGCTGATGGTGAAGACTTCTGGGAATTGCAGTCCAAGAACATCTGGGATTACCTACGGTTGGGAATCACTGTTCTAGGCAATGAAAAGTTGTCAGAGAATGTACAGGAAGTAAATGACCACTTACATTTTATCAACTTTTTCAACATATTGGCCAAACTCCTATTGCATAAATTTACGGGTACACTGGCTGATGATTTTCTGTTTTAATGCCCGAAAAGTTGCCATCATGGTCCTGATCCTGGTAAGCATTCCTTTCACCTAGGGGAAGCCTTTGGAATCCTCAGGATGGGAATGGGTGGATTTTTAATGCCTGAAAATGGCTACTATTTTACACATTCATCTTCAGGCATTACCGCCCCCCACATCCCGAGGCATCCAAAGGCTTCCCCAGATTGAAAGGGATGCTGACGGAGCCTTGGAACCAGGATGGTGGTGGTTTTAATAGGCAACTTTATTAAGTGATAAAATCCTGTGGTTGATGATGTAAATAGCTTGTGCAAGCATAAATTCGTGCAATAGGATTTCTGTTGAATTATTCTGAATTTAGTATTTAATATACAGTGAATTAATGTAAAGTGTTGTGATCGGAAGTCTCCATTTATTGTGTATATATTACTGAATGGGCAGAATCCTCATGATTAGTTGTGCTTGCATAAATCACAGTGACGGATTGCTACTAATTAGCAGATATTAACTTGTATCCTTCATCTTGCACCAGCTTACACAATTGGTTATAAGGCGTACAAGTGACAACATTTAACTTGGTTATCCAATGCTGGTGGAAATTTTCTGGTTAAAATGAAACTATTTTAATGAAGTTTAAATATAATAAATTATTTAAAACAACAAATATCAACAGCAGTGCATAAATGAAGCAAGAGACATAATGATTGCTAGTTGTGGAATACCCATGTCAAATAAGTACATTAAAATTGTTTTCAAGTCTCATGCCAGTGTCTTTCCATTTATTTGTCTGTGACTGTGTATTGTTGTCAAAGTCTTTAAGTTTGGAAGCCTAGACAAGTGATATTTTTTTTGTGCATAGAATCTTTTGAGCATGTGTAATTTTTATTGCACTTTCAGTTGTTGGCACTCACCATTTCTTTGTATTGTGTTAAAGATATCAGAGGAATCTCCTATTGAAAACTTCATGGTTGTATATTTATGTAATGCGGTATGGAATTTTGTGCGTTAGTTTCTTGCCTCATATTTACAGTTCTTGTTTGTGATAAAATTACTTACAGTCCCATTTGCTTTTAAGAATGTACTGATATATTACCCTTTTAAAGGGATTAGAGAAATAATGGTACATTTTTTGTTTGTATTGCTTATTTTGCCATTTTAGTAGGAACTAAACCGGTCTTTAGTCAAATGGAACATTTAACTATGTGAAAACATAGCTTAGCAGGGTAAGGCTCTTATCACAGGACTAAATCCTGTCTGGAGTTGATTGTTTGAAGTTATATAGGATTTGAGTTAGTCTTTACCAGTAAGTCCAATTAATTTTAATGGGTGTGCTAAAGGTAGGAATAATGTTGAATTTAGACTGAGTTGAATCATGTAAGCTTTCTTCTTAAAGAGTGTAAATTATATGATAAAAGCATGTGCATTACTTTTATATAATATATAGTTCTACTCTGTTCATAACCTTGTTTTTCTTAATCATGTTAACTCTTCTTTGCAGAAGAATTATATTATGATTGATAGTATTAATGTATTTTATGAATATAATGGGAGCAGATTCACTGACTCTAAAGTGAGCATCACTCTGTAAAGTGTTTAGAAATATATTTCCACATGCTTGAAATTATCCGTTTTGGAAACTATTTGGTGACTAATGGCACTAAATTTCCCTCTTCCTGTATGGAAATTTATCAACATATTAACAGAAATTCCAACAAGAGTTGTTGTTGGTGCTCTATTGCTGAAATAGAAATTTAGCCTACACAGGCATATTAATCTATGATTTATTCTTTTGCCTTGGATTAAGATATATTCATATGTGATGTGCTTGTTGTGTATCTGAGTGTTCACCAAATCACAGAAATTAAATGTTTTCTCCTTAGTGGTTTACAGGTCAGCCATATGTGCAGTAAACTACCACACAAACATATGTGAAATAAAATTAAATATGTGCTTCGGTTTAGTGAGCTTTATCATGAAACAAAAAGTCTAATGGTTATACTACATAACCAGACTTGTTTAATTCAAAATTACCACATATAACACTTATCATTTTGGCTCATTTCAGAATAAAAATGGAAAGAATACTCACCAGAGTCCTAATTTTTACTGATTTAGGCCCTCCTAGTTTCCAACTGAAATTGAGGCAGATTATCCCCCCCTCCTATTCTAGTGGTTTCTGTTATTTGTGCAACATCTCTCTATTGTCCTTTCCTGTGGATAATCAAAGCACAGACATACAGGACCACATGAGACCTTAATAATTATTGAGAAAGATACAAAGAACTCATCCAGTGCCTGAAATTTTTAAACAAAGCAGCAGTCGTCATAGTTTTGGGCAGTCTGCACAATTAAGCAGTTTTGCACAAAAAGAAGTAGTTTTGCTGAAACCATAACTCTATGTACAATGCCCAGAAATTCTTCATTATTCCACTGGTGAGGAAAAGAATGTCACAGTTCCTTGTCCTTTTGTGCAAGGATGAAAGAAGTGAGGATTTATATCCCTAGTTCAGATGTAACAACAAACCATGATTATTTACTGCACAACAAACCATGGTTTGTTATATGCCTGAGATTCGTGTTGTCTTATAAATGTAACAGGGAGCCATATTTTTTTCATTGAAATGTTATTGTGCAATAAAAAAAGCAGTGTAACTTTTATATGTGAATTGCCATGAGTTAAGAAATCTCTGTAGACCTTAGCTGTGGCATACTGAATCACATGACCCGGTGTGCCGCAGATAAGGTCTATAGCAGGGGTGTCCAACCTTTCAGCTTCCCTGGGCCACATTAGAAGATGGAAATTTGGTTTGGGCTGCACATACATTTGGTTTGGGCCGCATGGGGGGGAGCCCTAGCCACCCAAGCGCGCTTACCGGCAGCTGCGATCTCAGACAGCAGAGGCTGCCAGCTTCCACTCCAGTGGCTTTATGGGGCTGGGAGGGGGTCCACCTATTGACGGGGACAGCACAATGCAGTCACGCAGCCCCCCTCTCCCTTCCCCTCCCACTCCTTCCTTCCTTCCCTCTCTCCCCCTTTACTGTTGTGACATGCCCCAGCCACATTCCGGCCGCAAGCGCTGGAAGTGTAACTTGAAACTTTGGAATTTCTTTTTAAAAAATTGCACTGGTCCGCATTACGAGCTGACCTGGGCCGCA